GAAGGGTTTGCGATCCACCCGCCGATTCTGAGAAGAGAATTTTACAAAGAAACTCCCTCGCACGACACTAGGCACGGGACTGGCGCGCACTGGCTCTACTTAGAAGAGAATCTCGCCATCTCGCTGGCCTCTCCGCAAGGCCCCCCCGACCGCGTCGAACTCATCGGCGCGGGCTAAAATCTAAATACAACGGACATCCCAAGCTAGGCCTAGGGCTGGCGGCTGGGTCGAGGACAGACACGTCCCCACCTTTGCAGGATCGGCGCGGCAGGATCGGCGCGGGCTCTCTCGCAGCGCTTTTGTTATTTTTTCTTTTGAGAGCGCCTTCGTTGTTAATAGTACAAACCCAATGGTCCCTCGCTAGCGGTCCTTCGTTGCAGTCGCACACACACACACGCCACGCCGCACCGCGCGCCCGCCCACTGCCCCGCCCAGGCGGGAAAGAGATGAGGAGATGGGACAGCAAAGGAGGAGCCACAAACACGTATGCGGCTAATTTTTTCTTTTTCGATTTACGGCCCGGATTGGCTGCCTGCAAGGAGCGATCCAGGCCTGGATCGCCTGCATCTGGAGGCGCTGGCCACCCGGTGGCTTGAGGCCCATGACCTCACTCCTCGGCAACACTGCCACCGCGAGGTTCGAGCTCCCATCCACGGACTCGCCGTGGCAAGTCGCCTTTGGAGCGCCAAGCAAACTCGGCCGATGCCTGTCTCCTCGCACATTCTTGGCGTTCCGTGTCCTCCTTGCTCTTTTCTGGACCGGCATCACAATCTGGAGCATGGTGGACCACAAGGCCAATGACCTCGAGACGGCGCCAGAATTCTACATCTACCTCACCAACTGGAGCCTTCTCATCGAGTGGTTCTACCTCGTGTCTGCGACATTCGTCACTCGGATGGCACTCCGCAACCCAAAGCGAACTGCGCTGGATGGCGCTCCATCAAAGACGCCGCTCTTTGCGCGCATCACGTACGCAGCACAGGTCGAGACCTACGTCCTCTCCTTCTTCGTATTCGTGCTCTACTGGGCGCTCGTCTACGATGGCGGCACCATCCATGCTCTCTCGGTCTTCACCCACGGCGTCAACTTCCTCGTCGCGCTCGCAGACTGCCTGGTCGCGGGCATCCCAATGCGCCTCGTGCAGTTCTGGCTCCCCTTCGTCATCTCGAGCACGTGCGTGAGAGTAGAGTAGACCTCCGCACATCCTTCTTGTTCTTCATCACAGCTCGGTCTCTTAGGTACGTCATCTTCTCGG